TTAACTTTATGATTTTCAGTGCTATTACTCTGACCCTGCTATAGCGGATGGTTACTTCAGTGTGCTGGCTGAGGTCTACATGCGACAAGAGATTCCAAAATGTGAAATTCAGAGGCTCTTGAGCCTGATCCTCTACAAGGTAGTGGACCCATCTAGGCAAATCCGTGATGATGCCCTTCAGATGCTTGAGACACTCTCTGTCCGTGAATGGGCTGAAGATGGCACTGAAGGCTCAGGTTGCTATCAGGCTGCTGTTGTTGGTAATCTCCCTGATTCCTACCAACAGTTTCAATACAAGCTCTCATGCAAATTAGCCAAATATCACCCCGAGTTGAGTCAGCTTCTCTGTGAAGAGATCATGCAGAGACAACTTGATGCAGTTGATATAATTGCTCAACATCAGGTGTTAACCTGTATGGCTCCATGGATTGAAAACTTGAATTTTTGGAAATTGAAGGACTCAGGTTGGAGTGAAAGATTATTAAAAAGTCTTTATTATGTGACATGGAGGCATGGGGATCAGTTTCCTGATGAAATCGAGAAACTTTGGAGCACAATTGCCAGTAAGCCCCGGAACATTAGTCCAGTTTTAGATTTCTTGATTACAAAAGGAATTGAAGATTGCGATTCAAATGCATCTGCTGAAATAAGTGGTGCTTTTGCCACATATTTCTCAGTTGCCAAGCGAGTAAGTCTGTATCTAGCACGTATATGTCCACAACGCACAATTGATCACCTAGTTTACCAGCTGTCCCAGCGGATGTTGGAAGATAGCATTGAACCAATTGGGCCAGGTGCAAACAAGGCTGATGCCAATGGAAATTTTATTTTGGAATTCTCTCAGGGCCCTGCAGCGGCCCAGATTGCATCTGTTGTGGACAGCCAGCCACACATGTCACCATTACTTGTTCGGGGTTCACTTGATGGTCCATTGAGAAATACTAGTGGAAGCCTGAGTTGGCGTACAGCTGGTGTTACAGGGCGAAGTGCATCAGGCCCACTAAGTCCCATGCCTCCGGAATTAAACATTGTTCCAGTTACTACAGGCAGGTCAGGTCAGCTCCTTCCAGCATTGGTAAACATGTCAAGACCTTTAATGGGGGTTCGAAATTCCACAGGAAGCTTACGAAGCCGCCATGTTTCCCGGGACAGTGGGGACTACCTGATTGACACTCCAAATTCCGGTGAAGATATCTTACATTCTGGGGTTGGTATGCATGGTGTCAATGCTAAAGAACTTCAGTCAGCTTTGCAAGGGCACCAGCAGCACTCACTTACTCGTGCAGATATAGCATTAATTCTACTTGCAGAAATTGCATATGAGAATGATGAAGACTTTCGCGAGCACTTACCTCTGCTCTTTCATGTCACATTTGTTTCAATGGATAGCTCTGAGGATATTGTACTGGAGCACTGCCAGCATTTGCTTGTTAATCTACTATACTCACTTGCAGGTCGGCACTTGGAGCTGTATGAGGTTGAAAGCAGTGATGGAGAGAACAAGCAACAGGTTGTCAGTCTAATCAAGTATGTTCAATCAAAGCGAGGGAGCATGATGTGGGAGAATGAGGACCCTACAGTTACAAGGACTGAGCTTCCTAGTGCTGCACTTCTTTCTGCCCTCGTTCAGAGTATGGTTGACGCAATCTTCTTCCAAGGAGATCTTCGTGAGACTTGGGGTGCTGAGGCACTCAAATGGGCCATGGAGTGCACGTCAAGACACCTTGCTTGTCGTTCTCACCAGATCTATCGCGCATTGCGGCCTAGTGTTACAAGTGACACATGTGTGTTACTCCTTCGTTGCCTACATAGATGCTTGGGAAATCCAATACCTCCTGTTCTGGGTTTCACCATGGAAATTTTACTGACATTGCAAGTAATGGTTGAGAACATGGAGCCAGAAAAGGTGATACTCTACCCACAACTCTTTTGGGGTTGTGTGGCAATGATGCACACAGATTTCATTCATGTCTACTGCCAGGTTCTTGAGCTTTTTTCACGTGTGATTGACTGTTTATCATTCCGGGATAGAACAATTGAAAATGTCCTCCTTTCCAGCATGCCTCGAGATGAGTTCGATAATGTTGATATTGGGGACTTTCAGCAGATGGAATCTAGGGGCTATGACTTGCCAGCAACCAGTGGCAATCTGCCAGCATTTGAAGGAGTGCAACCTCTTGTACTTAAAGGACTTATGTCCACTGTTAGTCATGGTGTAGCAATCGAGGTCCTCTCTCGTATCACGGTGCACTCATGTGACTCCATTTTTGGCAATCATGATACTAGACTACTGATGCACATTACAGGATTGCTTCCCTGGCTTTGCTTACAGCTCAGCAATGATCCATTGGTGGGCCCAGCTTCACCACTCCAACAACAGTACCACAAAGCCTGCTCTGTTACTGCCAACATCTCAATTTGGTGTCGAGCAGAATCATTGGATGAATTAGCTACTGTGTTTATGGCTTACTCCAGAGGTGAGATCAAAAGCATTGATAATCTCCTTGCCTGTGTCTCACCGTTGTTATGCAACGAATGGTTCCCTAAGCACTCTGCTCTGGCTTTTGGACACTTGCTACGGCTATTGGAGAGAGGTCCAGTTGAGTATCAACGTGTAATATTGCTCATACTTAAGGCATTGCTCCAGCACACTACCATGGATTCGGCTCAAAGCCCACACATGTATGCCATTGTATCCCAGCTAGTAGAGAGCACTTTGTGTTGGGAGGCACTAAGTGTATTAGAAGCTCTTTTGCAGAGTTGTAGTTCATTGACTGGTTCACATCCACATGAGTCTGGGTCATTTGAAAATGGGACAGATGAAAAGATACTAGCTCCTCAGACCTCGTTTAAGGCTCGAAGTGGGCCACTGCAGTATGCTATGGGATCAGGTTTTGGGGGAGCTTCAACATCAGTTGCACAAGCAGTTTCCAACGAATCTGGTATGACAACTAGAGAGGTGGCTTTGCAAAACACTCGATTGATCCTTGGGCGGGTGCTTGACCGTTGTGCCCTGGGGAGAAGAAGGGAATATAGAAGGCTGGTGCCTTTTGTGACCACAATTGGAAACCCATGACCTGCGTGCTTGCACATGTAATTTTATATTACTTCTCTTTCTTTTGCTTTTAATCTGAAGTAGCTTACATGATACTTCAGATCAAGCACTGGGAAAACTTGGGACCTAGCTCTGTAAATAGGCATATCATAAATCTTTAATTGTAGTTAGTGTTGTAATATTATAGGAAGTATAAGCATTTCAGGTCCCTTGAAGTCCATCCCATGTATCACATATTTGTGGTAATTGTATAATTGCATACATTCGGAGCTTTTGCTATTATCAAACTTCTACTTATTTTTGTTGATTTATGCCCGGCCTGGTACATTGCAGTCGAAAATACCATTGCCTTGATACTGCATTTTTATGTCTAATAATTCTACGCGTTGTTATAATCCTACTTTTATCACTATGACATGAGCATAGATTTCTTGTTCTCAAAGTTGCCTGATATCAAAATATTTGACAATAGATGCTACTCACCACTCGATGGTCGCAGTGAGACTTGAAAATCCTATTAATTGGGATTTGCATTTCAGGCTCCATAGAGAACGAAGATTATCTGCCGGGGAAACTAGAAGTTAGTTCTAAAGTAGCCCATCAAAGTGATTAAAGGGCTTCTATTTCTATTACATGATTCAAAATTAACGATTGGGCTTGCAAAGATTTTTCCATGGCATCCTGCTTTTGTTTTGATTTGTTTTATTGGTTTTTTTTCTGATGATGTGATCGCCAATTTCATTTACGTTTATCTCTACCAAATTACATTTTGTCAAATTACAGTTCAGCAAAGGATGAAAACATGGAGCATGTATCATTAGAGTTTAGACTATGTTATGCGTTCTTTGGGAGTGAAAACGGTGGTTCAAGAATACGGAAAAGTGAAAGGGAAAATCATGGAAGCTTTCACTGATTATAACCCTCTTACCTTTTCTTTACTACAACTTTGCTCTCATTCCAGTTTCGGATAAAGGTTTTTGTTTTTAGGGTAATGAAATTAAAATTATAATTCGTTGAAGTATCACTCAAAATATATGATATCATATTTATATATAAAAAAGTTAATAAAAAAATTACATAAATTAACAAACCAATACACGAAACTTAGATAAAATTTAAACTTGGAATTTAAGAGTTTTAAAACCTTATGTGCTTCTTTTTTATTGCAAGAGATGGTTTAATTGAATTATGAAAATATGATTAAATTTGTCCTAATTATTCATTGGTTGATTTTTTATAGCAAGAGATGGTTCAATTTTTTGGGACACCGTGGAAGAAGAGGAGATTCTCGAATGAGAAAAAATATATATATGAGATGAAAAATTTTTTATGCATGACTTTAAGAGTAAAATCAAAACTATGCCCTACCTAAAGTCGCCGATTAGATGAAATTCAAAGGCTTCGCATATGTAGGTTTGGTTGAATGATGGGAGCATGTTGAGCTTGACCAAGACCAATACCAATCCCTTGTTAGAGACAACTCCACCTATAACTCTGCTAGTATGCTACTTGATTTGTTCAATCCAACCAACTAAACGCTGATTGGATGTGCTACGTATTTCAAATTTATATTTTGATGTACAAATTTTATTATATATTGATAATATATTAAATAAAATTATCTCATTAATATAATAAATGATATGATATATTTTATTAATAAAGAATTTTTTAAAAAATATTTATTTTAAAAATTTATATTTACTTGTTATTAAAATGATGCATTTTATTTGTTAATAATTTATAAAATATATATTTAGACCGATAATATATTAAATATAAATTTTAAATTTAAATATAAAATTAAAAATAGCAAATACAAAAAAAAAGGGGGGGGGGGGGAAAGAAGATAAGAACAAGAAAAAAAGGATCTACGGAGCCAGCGGTCAGCGGGAAACCTCAAAGAAACTACTGCTTCATTTAAAAACCATGACGCAAATCCGTTGACGTCATTGCTCCACGGAGGACCGACGTCATGGGTGATGGCCTTGCTTCTGTCTTCGTTGAACAAATCCAAAGCGACTATTAATCTGCCTTATGCTATAAATTAGCTGCATAATCTCTTCGCTCTTTCACTCCACTCATCATCCAAAAAAGCAACCCAAACAAGAAAAAGAAATTATCAGTTTAAACAATGGCGGAGGCTTCAAGCAACGTTGTTGAGACGATCAACAGTGATTGTCACGATTTTAAGTCGCTTTTCTCTACTTCTGAGAGGGATTTCCTGGTACGCAACAACAGTGATCAGGTAACTAACTCCCGCAGATAAATCTTTTTTGTCTGATATCTGTTTTTATCATAAATGTTTTGTTAAAAGGTTTTTTTTTTTTTAGAAATGAAGAGGAAAATAATTGAGTTTAAGATTTTTTTTTTTTAAACTTTGTTGAGCTGAAATTTTTAGTCTTCTAGGGGGAAAAGCTGGAAAATTAATAGTTTTTGAGAATGGAATATAGTGAACTAGGTTGTCTTCTGAACTGGGTTTGGAGCCTTTGATTGGTTGTTTAATTCAAATGAAATTGAGAGGTTATAGTTATAGATAATATGGTGAAAATGATTTAACCATCTATAATGGTTTTCATTTTTCACAAAAAGGGAAAACTGAATTTAAACATTTATTTTAATCTGCTTTTTTCAATGATTGTAATTGATGAATGATGATAATAGCATGACATCAAATTAAATCTACAGTTTTGATGTTAGTTTAAGGAATATGAACTTCACTGCTTGTTGGATATTCCCTGTAATACATTGGGGTTTCGATAACTGTCACTGTTTGATAATTATGTTTGGCAATCAAGCCTGAAATTTCAATTTTATAGGTTAAAATTGAATGCTTGAAAGGGAAGAAGCTTGGATTATATTTCTCAGCATCATGGTGTGGCCCTTGTCTAAGATTCACTCCTAAGTTAGTTGAGGTGCACTCTGAACTCTCTCCAAAAGGCGATTTTGAGATCATTTTTGTTTCAAGAGATAAAGACGAAGAGTCATTCAATGGTTACTTTTCTAAGATGCCATGGCTTGCAATTCCTTTTTCTGATTCAGAGACACGCAGCAGCTTGGTCAAGTTGTTCAAGGTGATGGGAATACCTCATCTTGTGCTCTTGGATGAAAATGGTAAAGTCTTGACTGATGAGGGAGTTGAGATCATTCTAGAGTACGGAAAGGACGGGTACCCTTTCACCCCTGAAAAAATCCAACAACTAAAAGATTTAGAAGAAAAGGCCAGGAAGGAACAGTCCATAAAAACTCTCTTGGTTTCCCATTCACGTGACTTTGTAGTTACATCTGATGGAAACGAGGTAACTTCGATGATTGCACTAAATTATTTATTTTTTTTTTTCTAGGTTTTTTGAATGGGTTTTAATACAACATTGCTTCTTAATTTGTGTACTAGGTACCTGTTTCTGAACTTGAGGGTAAGACTGTAGGTCTATATTTCTCGGTGTCTTCATACAAGGCATCTGCTGATTTTACTCCAAAACTTGCTGAAGTTTATAAGAAATTGAAAGAAAATGGGGAGAATTTTGAGATTGTTTTGATATCGATTGATGATGAAGAGGATTCCTTCAAGGAAAGCTTTATGGCACCTTGGTTGGCATTGCCCTTCAAAGACGAGACCTGTAAGAAATTGGCTAGGTACTTTGAGCTCTCTACCCTTCCAACTGTTGTTATTATTGGGCCAGATGGGAAAACTCTCCACTCTAATGTTGCTGAAGCTATTGAAGAACATGGGATTCAGGCCTATCCCTTCACCCCTGAAAAATTTGCGGAGATTGCAGAAATAGAGAAAGCAAAAGAGGCAGCACAAACTCTGGAATCAATTCTGATTTCAGCGGATCTGGATTTTGTCATAGGGAACGATGGAGCTAAGGTATGATTATTTGGTTTCCTTGTATGCCGCTAATTCTTCAAGATCATGTTAACTTGAACTGTTGAGTGTATATAGTCATGCAATTGACCACAGTTTGGTTACTACACACACCCTATATCCTGCTTCCATTCTCTTTCACAGCTCCCCCTCCCTCCCTCCCCTGTTTCTGAATATATATGTTTAAGCCTTTCATGCTTCACATGAGTATAAGCAATGGTTAGCAGCAATGCTAGCCAACTCAGCCCCCCGTCTTTCTGATGAGTGATGAATTTATCTCCTAATTCAGGTCCAGGTGACCGACTTGGTGGGAAAGACCGTTCTCTTGTACTTCTCAGCACATTGGTGCCCACCATGCCGTGCCTTCACGCCAAAGCTTGTTGAAGTATATAAGAAGATCAAGGCAATGGACGAAGCATTTGAAGTGGTTTTTATTTCTAGTGACAGGGATCAAGCCTCCTTTGAGGAATATTATTCAGGAATGCCCTGGCTGGCACTTCCTTTTGGTGATGCTAGGAAGCCATTATTGAGTCGCAAATTCAACGTCCGAGGCATCCCTATGCTTATAACCATCGGACCAACTGGAAAAACTGTTACAAAAGAGACCAGGAATCTGATCATGGCCCATGGGGCCGATGCTTATCCTTTCACTGAGGAGCGTTTGAGTGAGATCGAGGCTGAGCACTAGATGGCAAAAGGAGGAATGAAATCCAAAAGAAGGCTGAGTCTCTGATGGAGATGTCTGCACTAGAGTTTGATGAATCTTTGTCCTTGGGTTTGGTGGTGGTATTATCTATATTTCATTTATGTTTGCAAATTTAGCAGCTGCAATGTTAAGTCTATGCTTTGTTTCTTCAAGGGCTTGGACCTAGAAATTGTCTGGTATTGTCGGTATTGTGTGTGTATATATCCAGTTGTTCCTACTGCTGATGTAGCCACGATCATATGTATGCAATACAATAAAAACTTTGAAAATCTCTCAAGTGGCAATGTTCTTGAAATGCAGTGGTCAATACTTATTGTTGAAGTCATCGAAATTGACTCGGCTTAGATTAGTATTGTTGTCACGGTTTAAAAAAAAATTGGCTTGAAAAAATATATTTAAAATTTGTGATTAAAAAAAATTGATTTAAAAATTTTAAATGTTCAATATTATTGTGAAATAGTGTTATTAATGTATTGAAATATTTAAAAATATATATGTATAATATAAAAGTTTAAAGTTACAGTACAAAAAAAAATGATTTCACCTGTCAAAAGTGTTTTTGAACTGCAAACATAAGAAATTTTCTGTTTGATTTGTAAAATCAAAATTTTTTACTGCAAAACTCAAAATTTTCACCATTGAGATTGCGGTAAAAATGAACTTTTTAGCCCAAAACACTTTTAGATTTAATGCTAAAATCTAAGTTTTTCTTTTGTTAATTGAACCGACTTATCTTTACGTATTAATCAGGGCTTTTGATCCTAACAACTACCAAAAATATATACCAAAGCTTAATGCTGGAATACTTGTACTATATATTTACTCACTTAGTAAGAAATATAATGAAGTGGAATCATATACCAATTCACCAACTTGTATTTTTATTACTTAATTATGTTATTTTTATACATTGTATTGTTAAAAAATTTTTACATTAAATTCAAAAATACATTGTATTGTTAAAAAATACATTGTATTTTTATTACTTAATTATGTTATTTTTATATATTGTATTGTTAAAAAAATTTTACATTAAATTAAAAAATATACCAAAAAATATATAATTATATTTTAATGCAAATATAAAAATAAGATTTTTTTGAAATTACATATTACTTGGAATCAATATGTCTAAAGTTTATTTTTACATATTAATAATATATATATATATATATTTAATTTTATGAACGAATGTAAAAGATTATTACATTTAAAAAAAAAATTAATATATCTTAAGAGATATATCTTAACCTGTTAATCCTATTTGATAATTTTTCGAGTTTTTATTTTAACTTTTCGAAGCCGTCTCGAATTTGCATGTTTCGTGTTCTCAACGTGTTGCATCTAACTCCTAATATTCTAAAAAAGAAAAAAAAGAAAAAAAATTCATTGAAAATTTCCTTTTGCCAAACTGCAGAATTTTAAAAGTTGGGTTTTCATTTTAACGTAGAATCTCAACTGGAATGAATATTCTTGTCACCATATCCTCGCTGTAAGTTGAACCCATTTTCTCTGATTCTGTCTTAACATGTATTTGCAAACGTTGTTAGATCTCTGCTTGGATGTTTATTTCCTTATATTTCAGGGTTTTATGGCCGCTGCCTTTTTCTTTTCATTGTAAATTTTAATGGGGTAGGGATCCCATTGGCATGCGTTAGAGGAGAATCTTGAATTTTGCTGCCAACCATGATGTAATGCTAAGAATTTTGAGAATCTCAAGCAGTCGAGCAATACCCAAAACACTCACTCGTACAGCACAACTTTCTCAGTCCCAACATTAGTGTGGATAAAATACCGGCTTGAGTAGTCAAAAACAATCGTTAAGCTATTATTCACACAGCCAATCAATGATGCATCAAATTCCAAAAAAATAAAAATTAAAAATTAAAACTTCAATTGATCCAGAAAACATAAACCAAAACACACATTCTTAATCCTTCGGTATTAAATGAACCGAGCTGAGCGTCAACTTATTCGTATTCAGCTCACCTAAAATTAAATGAACACAAACGCGTTCTGAGCTCAAACCAAACTTAAGAAATGTTGTTTGAACTCGGCTCAGTAAACCAAACTGTAGAAATGTTAATTGAACACGGCTCAGTCATAGAGCCGAGCTTTTAGTTGAACTCAAACAAATTTCTCCATTCTTAAATAAGTAGATAAACATAAACTTCAAAATTTTCGTTTATTTATAAACATTAAATGCTGCCCTGCATAATTTAATAAGCCAGCAGTCCAGGGCCTCTCTCGATTATCGTTGTCTGTAACCCTCACCGGCGAGTGGCAAATTTAAAAAATCAGCCTTCACTTTTGCTATGATTTCCTACCTCCGTTACAGAGACTACAAAAATAATTTTTCAGTTTTTGTTTCTTCAAAACTTAACCTAACTCCAATTTTAGGTAAATAAAGGATTATTATAAAATCGTAACCCTAAAAACCAAATAGAAGATTTTTAATCTACATTTTGCATACTTTACAATGATATAAATCTTAAATCATGATTTGGATTATATTAAAAGATATTAAAGTTAAAATGAACTTAGTTAACAAGAGCAAAATATTCCATTATCAAGTTAGTATCGAATTTGTAATTTATTCACAAACAACTTAATAAATTTATTCATGAATACTAATAATGTTTGAGCTCTGATCATTTATTAAATGAACTTTAAAATCTTATTCAAATTCATTTATTTAACTTAACGATCGAATATAAACAAATCATAACCGAATTTATTCACCAAGAGTTCAACGACCGTTCCGTTCATTTACACCCTTACTACTGCATTTGTGTTCTATAAGAAAAAGTATTACCTCAAATGAAAAGCTACTTCACAGTCTCGGAAAGACCATACGAGACTGAAATCGGAAAGCTCTTCAGCTCACAGAATCGGTCTAAAGCACAAGCATTTAACCAGTGAATTAGGAAGGTACCAAGTGAGAAAGTGATCCATTGGAGAGAACATGGCTTGAGAGCGGGCAATTAAAGCCATTGCAAGCCAATGCAAATTGATTTCTAAAAGTCCAAGAAATGAAATTAAAGCAATCGCAAAGATGCACAAAATTAGTTTTGATTACAGTCAGAAGCATTGCATCCAAAAGGAATAACCAACCAGTTTTTAGTTACAATATAGCCATAATAAGTTCCTATAACTAAAATGCTCATCACCAAAAGGAAAAAGCATAACAATCCAACTGTCTTAAATGAGAAATGGAGAATAATAATAATAATAATAAACTAGATAATATTCACCCCTGCATCCAGAATGTCCCATATTGCAAAAATCTTCTTAACGGCTTCAGGACTGCAATAACACGTGTGAACATAAGCAAAAACAGAAAAAGGCAACTTTCAACTATTTTATAATGCGTAATTTTTTTTCCAGACATTCATATTTTAGTTTTGACTCTAGAATCTTGCTGCAATCTAATGTACGAGAAAAAGAAACATGGAATGTTCAACACAACAAACATCAACAGTTCAACCATTAAGTTATACTCATCCTTGAAGGATGTACAGATTAAGTAAAATGAATGATCCATAAAGATACTTGTGCTAGTATCCATTCTCACCTTGTTAGCTATGTTGTTGGAAAGCCAATCCAGACCCTCATAAAGCCCCTCTCCGGAGGTTGCACAGGTACTCTGGATGTACCTGAAAAGACCACCAAGGCACCTCAGAGGTAATGAATAAGAAGATTTGTGCAAAACACATCAGGAAAACACAATGCAAAAGCTTACCAGTGACGCTGTCGAAGGGAATGAAGGCCAAGCTTATCAGTAATTTCAGCAGCATTCATTGCATTTGGAAGATCCTGCTTGTTTGCAAATACAAGCAACACTGCATCTCTCAGCTCATCCTGAAAACAAGTAATCGTAATCTTGTTAACCACGAAAATCCAGCAAAACTACACCAAGAGCAGAAGATTCAACTCATGCTCCTTGGTTTGCCATGAATATATTAGTATCTATCCATTTTCATCGATAATTTTGGTATCCTCATGGACAAATGTAAATGTTAAAAATAATTTTTTTTTAAAAACAATAACTTCAAAAACATAAACTACTTTAGATGAATAAATATTTGGAAGAAAACCAGTAGCAGAGATTATGCTAACAATTTTCATTGATTTTGATCATTAGCTTCTAAAATTTGTAGTTTCCCACACTATATTGTTCCTTTGATTCCCCACAACTTTCAACACCACATTCACTCAATAGCACTTTACTTGTGATAATGGCCTTTGCAATCGACAGATCAAGTAACAGGGAAGAACCATGCCATTTATGCTGGATATATTTTGGAACAATTGTCAAGTTACAGAGGGAAAAAAAAAAACACCTCATTGTCTGGTAAGGGCAGGGCAGTGGACATCAGACTTCCCAAACTCCATATTGGAGGAGCTGTGAACACTAGGCTGCCCTTTTGCTTGTGTATGGCTACTAAATGTTATTGTATATGAAGGCAGCAAAGATAGCATCCAAAGCCACTTATAACAACAATTAAATACATGCATAAACAATACCTCATTCAACATTCTATGTAATTCATCCCTAGCTTCAACAACACGGTCTCTGTCGTTGCTGTCAACCACGAAGATGAGACCCTGTGTATTCTGAAAGTAATGCCTCCACAAGGGACGAATCTGCATGATCAAGAAAGAAAAGCTAGGACGTTATAGGTTTGCCATTACTTGGAAATCAGAATATGTAAAGACCCCCTAACTATTATTGTGTCAGAAATTAAAAGATTATTTGAAATGTTGCTGATATAACAAGGCTAAGCATCAAAGTAAAACACTCATACCTTGTCCTGACCACCAACATCCCACACAGTGAAACTGATGTTCTTATATTCCACAGTCTCCACATTAAATCCTGAAAGTAAAAATGCATATGACAAACCATGAGCATGGATCAATACATCACAAACATGAACAAGTCAATGTATCAAACAAAATCACAATATGAAATATTTGCATTATGGTCCTGTGACTAGACATCACATGTTTCATGCGAGTTCATCACCTTGGTTGAGTTGATCTGTGCATGCTTCATTTACAGGGCAGTCAAGTTCCAATATCTCAAATATACAAAAACAATATTTATAGCAATAACAATATTTATAGCAATAACAAAATAAAGTATCTTATTGGAATCACAAGCTCAACTTGCCAAATGATCCAAACCTAGAATGAAAATCTAGCATCTGGCATGCAACTACAAGTTCAAGAGGACCAAGATAGCTAAATTCAAGAAAGAAACAACAACACAGAGACATAATGGATTACATGCCTTGCTATCTAATCTTTTCCATGGAGTACATGACAACACACATTGTCTAAATAAGGTGCAAGCAATCATAACAACAGCAGAATGATAATAGTTCTAATATAGATTTAGAGATAATATCCGAAAGCAGAGATTAACAAAAAAAAAAAAGATTTCGAATAAGAGCGCTTACCAATGGTGGGAATAGTGGTGACAATTTCTCCAAGCTTGAGCTTGTACAAGATGGTAGTCTTACCGGCTGCATCAAGACCCACCATCAAAATTCGCATCTCCTTCTTGGCAAAAAGCCGGCTGAAAAGCTTCGTGAATGTCAGCCCCATTTCTCTTACCTAGCTGTTGATCCCTAAATATATTAAAAATTCACAGATATTATTTCCAAATAAACATGAAATAATAACTCGAGTCTACCATTTTCCAATCAAAAATCAAATTTCAAAAAATCAATGCCATGGCGTCATTTCCATAAAATTCCACTGAGAATTAAAAAAAAAATCATATATACAAGCAGAGGTAAATAACAGATCTAGAGATAAACGTTCAGATCAGAAAGGAAAGCAACAAAATTTCTCATAATTCGACACGCAAGCTATGAAATGAACAAATAAACAAGGAAATCAAGCCACGAATCGCCAACGAGTTTTAAACGGTAACGAAACGATTAGAAGCTTAACATTTAAAGCAAAGAGATAGAATCATGTAAAGCACATTGAATTGGTTTCTTTACATTTACCGCTTGCGAGATCGAAAAGCAAAATCGAAATATAGATTTGAATTACTATACCTTTGGAGATAATGGCAGAGGGATCCGTGAGAGATTTTGATTTTGAACCAAACCAAATAGAGAGAAAATTTTGAGAAACGCAAGCTTCAGACCGATGCGAAGAATAGGGGTGAGAAATGGCCATTTGGGTGATTCATATAGGCAAAGGAGACCAGGGACCGGGCCATAGGGTGCATCACACCAGATAATTTTTCCGATCATTTGATTGAAAATAACCAAATTGCCATGCATTAAGTTTTGCCTGTTGGTTCCAATCAGTCACCGACACGAAACTGTTGTGCACAGTATGCGTGAGATCTCAGCTTTCCATACACAAACCATACAAAAAATGTATATATATATATATATATATATATATATGCTCGAAAGGAACCCTGATTGGTTGGTTTCTGCCACGTCATCAATATATTTTTATTTTTACCTTAGGGTCCATGTTTTTAAAACAAGGGAAGGAAGGAGTTTTAAGCGGGCCTGTCCGTAAAAATTTGGTTCTAGATGGTCCAACTCAACCGGGCGAGAATCAGAATTCAGCGGTCAAGAAGATTGGGGTTTTTTTTTTTTTTTTATTTATTTATTTATAATTTTGGGGTGAAAGGAAGTCTTTTAGTCCAAAATTAGGCTAAATCATATGTTTAGGATAGATTTATATTTAATTTATAGTTTATCTATCAAGCGAGATTGTTGACAATAAATTTTTAATTTAGGTTTTATAAATGAAATATTTAATTTTTATTAATTCAATTAACTCTTAAGACATCGAAACAGATATTTTAACATTGGGATGTAGCTGTAATAAAGTCATTGATTGGTTAAATGATGTGACAACCTTTTTTGATTTATGGCCCGAGCTTATTTTCTTAAGATTCATTTAAATAGATGATAAATTTATTTTGATGATGTTAAAAATTTAGTGATACATGTATGATTGATTATTATAGTAATGAAATTAAAATTAATGATATATATATATGTGAATGTAAAAATAGTAATGATAATAAGGTGAATTGTAATTGAAATTAAAAATAATGATATTAGATTAAAAATTATATATAATAAAAAAATTTAAATTATTCAATATTTATAAAGTTAGTAAATAATTTAAAAAATTTTAAAAATTATTTTTATGTTGAATAATAATTTTAAAAATAAATAATTAAATTTTATTTATTAATTATATAATAATAATTTATTTATTATATCATAATTTTTAAATAAAAATCAAAAGAGAAAAGAAAAAAAAGGTTAAATTGTAAGTGTAAGCATAATTTCTTTAAATCTCAAAATTATATATGAGTATTAGAACACCAATCAATTAATTTACATACCTGTATAAACAGACGTAATCATCAAGTGAAAGCAACTATAATTTTATGAAAAAACTAGATTTTCCTTTTCATTTTTCTTTTACCAACAACTCTCAATGAGTAGATACCATTACCTAGAAGTGAAGAGGAGACCTTAGCTAATTTCTATTAAAACCCTAAAACCTCCCCATTAAAGGTTTACTAGGCCAAAGGCTTACATACCATCAAACAACAATGACCCAATAAGATATGTAAAGTTCATATATAAGTGATTACAATTAACTATTTGGATTTTCATACTTGTTTTGTATTATGACTAAATTTGTTAGCCTATTTTATTAAACTGTAAAATCACTAATTAATAGTAACCCATTTTAAAATTCTGACATTCTCTCACTTATGCAATATTAATTAAGTTGTTTGATTTTAAAAAATATAATTTAAAAAACAAGACCCCAAGTTGATTAACTTTATTTTGATGTGGCCATAACTTTAAAAATAATTTTGTTTTTTATTTTATTTTTATATTTATATTTTAATATTTATTATGGTTGTTTGAATTAAAGTGGTGAGAAAAAATAGTTTATTTTTGCATTTTTTTATATCTAATTGTATGTTTTCATATTTATTGTATGATCTATTAAATATATTTTGTATAATTTTATGATTATATATAATTGCATGATAATTAAAATTATTGCATGATAGTTAATATATTATATTATTTTTGCATGGTATTATTTGCATGATGATTTCTGTTTTATTTTGATTGATTTTTTCTTTCAAATTTAAAAAAAAAAAAAGTTTTTCAATCTTATCAAACTGTTAAAGGATTTAAATCTTAAATTAAGTCTTACCAAACTATTAGAGGACTTAATGAATTTTCTTGAAAAAAATATTTTTTTGAAATCCCACTAACATATTGGAGGATAATTTTTGATAAAAAAAATCTTACCAACATATTAGAAGATATTTTTGAAAATAAATTATTTTCACAAACAAATAAATTTTCAATCCTACCAACATATTAGAGGATAATCTTTGACAAAAAATCTTACCAACATATTGGAAGATATTTTTGAAAATAAATTGCTTTCATAAATAAAAGTTTTTTTTTAAGTGAATCCAATGATTGAGCCTTTTTAGAGTGGGACATTAGTCTTCATGAATACTTTTGAAGTGAGAAAATTTTTTTAAATTACTATCAAATTATTAGAGTAATTTTAAGATTAATTTTCAATAATTAAATTATTTGATAAAATTACAAAAAGACTTTACAACTTGGATAATTTGAAATCAAACTAGTACCATCTTTTAGGCGCTGTGAGAGTGCTATAATTTTTTTCATATGTAACTGTACTCCAAATCTAAAATCTAATTTTGTAGATTAGAATTTACCTTTTAAAGATACCCGAATTAAGTTTGGGATCTCTTTTTAAAATGGTATAGATTCAATTAGGTGACTAATCGTACTTAAATAAAAAAGATTAGTGCTGCGATAAGGTTATGGACCTATACATTATGACAGTTTGGTGACTTCACTAGGGGATATCAAGAGTCAGGCCAATAAATAATTTCTTGTTATCTAAGCCTAACCTAATAAATTTAAGAAATTTTCTCATTGTTTTGTATTATTTATTTATTTATTTATTCATTTTATATATTTGTTATTCATTTGCACATGTATAACATGAGTTATACACTCGAGTTTTATCCCTTATAAGGGAGTAAAGTACCATGCCTTCATGAGATTTAATGTCTCCACATGGGTTAGTGAAAAACTCCTACTTAAATTGAACAATTTCTGCTTATAACCTATAATAAGTGAAAACTGGGTACCTTATTAGTCTATAATGGATAATGATGTAAGGAACAATTTGATAACCGTAAGACTATCAAACTTTAAATCTAGCATGTAAATAAACCTTAAGGGCCTGAACTTAAGTTAGAATCGTGCCTTCTCTGTTAGAAATTCTTAAATAGGACACATGATAGGATATTTATTCTGCTTGTAAATTTATATATATATATATTATTGTATATATTATTTGCATACTAACCCTTATGTTATTCTTTGTATTTATATATTGTTTTTTGTTTATATTATATGCCTACTAGCCCTTTTCTTTTCCTACACATACATTCATATCATTAGGTTTATCATAAAGAGTAATTGCCACAATAATTTGAACAAAAAAAATCTTAGTTACATCTATGGAAAGCCTAGCAAAGTCCTCTACTAGTATAAAAAGGGAATTTGAAGAGTTGAAGTTTACAAACAACATATTAAAAAGGGAAGTTCAAGCACTCTAATAAGAAAATAATGAATAGAAAAGTTTGTTCGATGACATTAACATAACACGATCATCCACCACTCGAGAGTTGGCTCAATTTTTGAAAAAAAAAACAGACAGTTGCAAGCAAAGCTACAAGAAAAGGAAAATGCAATTTCTGAGGCACAAAGACACATCCAAATGCTAAATAGAATTGTGGTTAAAATTGAAATTTGAAACATAAATGAGAGCTGTGAATAAAGAGTGTGAGTAATTAAAGTAGGCATATGTGAAAAAGCATAATCAGTTGGAGTTCTTGATTAACCAAATCACTATGGTTGCTTACAAAGCCAAGGACATGATAAAAAAGATTGAAAAATGAAAGACAAAAGTACTGCCAGTGAGAATACATGACCAAAAATTGTTAGATTTTCTTAATGAAGTGCAAAGCCCATATCGACAAGTTAAGGATTTCTTTCCTCAATAAACTTTAGACTTTTCATGGATGTAATATTAGATTTAGTTAAAAATAACTTTTAATTCAATAAAGATTTTTTTGTTAACAATTGTTATGTGATAAATTCTCTTTATTGCATTTATGCATTTATTTTCATTGATAATTGGATGGTTTCATAATATCATTCTAAACATGAACCCTATTTGTGGTAAATCAAAGTTTAAGGATAGCTCAACAAACTTACCACAAGTATAACACTCGAGTCCAAGCTAAAAGAATAGAGTAAGACAATACAAGCCGCATTGAAAACTTAGAGATGGCTAAAAAAGAAATCAAAAAAAAATTGAGCAAAATCCTTGAAGAAAATATTAGAAGAATATATTTCACATGATATTATTGATCCTCTATATCCTTTGAGTTATGGCCTGTATCAAGCCTATTCTACTCAAAGCTGCTTACCATAATAGTTAGCATTTCCTACAAGCTCTATTTATTCATGAATGCTACATGCACCTAGCCAAAAAAATGTTCAAAGTTACATCAACCCTGCATTCATTGAAAAGGTAGTTAAATCGATCCAAGTTTTCAATTCCAAAAGTGAAACTAAAATTGAAGATGGTTGAGTTTTTGGATGACTCTAAAGTTTATTACAAGATAAACATGCTCGATGAAAGATTGTGAGCTGTGAAAGGTATTGATTTTTACAATTTTATGGATGCCACTGGGTTTTTTCTACTTTCAAATGTGGTTATACCTCTAAAATTTAAGGTTTCGAAGTTTAAAAAATATAACAGTATGAAATGTTCCATCACGTATGTTACAATATACTATTGTAAAATGGTAGTTTACCCTAGTAATGAAAAACTACTCATGCATGTATTTCAAAATAGTTTCATTGGTTTTGCTGGAAGGTGATATGTCCAGTTAAACAAAACTTGCATCTGATCATGGAAGGATTTGACTCATTCTTTCATCAACCAATATCGCCACATCATTGATTTAGCTCTTGATCGTCTTTCTTTACAAAACATGGAGAAGAAGGTAATAAAATTTTTCAAAGAATATGCCCAATGATAGAGAGATATGATTGCTCCAATTCAACTTTTTTTTATTAAAAAAGAAATAGTTGTCTTGTTTGTAAATACCCTTAAAGCCACT